ATAAGGCTCTAAAAGAATGTGCAGAATCCTAGGAGTAACAAGGCTCTGGAGTTATGTGTTTTTCCTCTAAGGCCTGTTCTGCAAATCTAAGATGTCTCTCTTATCTTCTTTTCAAGCAAATATCAATATCCTATACTTGTGCATAGAATGAAAAGCTCTTGTTGACATGGATTTCTGTTAGAATTTTAAATGACTTTTATTTGCTAATCATAACAAATTATTTTGAGTTTTTATGCCAAGAATAGATGCGTAGACCAGACACAAAACAACACTATGGAATGGCCATGGTACTGCATTCTTTTGTTGTTGTTGTTGTTGTTGTTTGTGTTGCACATTCCAAAATATTACTTCATGTTGAAATAAAACTACAAAATAAAGACAGCAATCATGCTGTTGTCAGTTGAGAGCTTGGATAAATAGAATAAAACAGCACGAGAAGCAACCATATAAACTATAGTGGGATAAAGGTTTAAACATCGCCCCCATTTGAAACTGACCTGAAATTAGGAGGTGCTACATTAAGATTTGAAGATTAGGATTTCTAAGTTCAGGATGCCACCATATGGATACATTTTATATTGCACTTATCTGTGAAAATGCAGCTGTGGACAACTGGCACAGTTCAGGAGAAGAACAAAGGGTGGAAAAATTGGAAGCTGGAAATGTCCCAGCATCTGCCTGCCACCCAGTAAAGATTCCTAGGCATGCAAAAACTGGATAATTTACGGTTCTTGTCTTATAAGCTTAAAGAAACCTGAACTTTAAGGCACAAGGGTGTAGCTTCTTTTGTAAAAATGCATGTCTTTCTACCTGATAGTGCTAATGTAAATCTGTTTCTATTTTTTTAAAAATTGGTAGCATAGTCTATGTTTATTCACTCCATTTACTGTGCTGTCTTCATCCCTTTTTCAAGTGTGCATAATGCTAAATATACTGTAGGACAGGGATAGGCAACCTCGGCTCTTTTATGAGTCATGGACTTCAGCTATGCTGACTCAGGAATTCTGAGTCCATGAGTCATAAAAGAGCCGAGGTTACCTACCCCTGTTGTAGGATAATGAACTATATTATAACACTCCACCACAAACTATAAACAGGTAGACAGAATTTTATTTTGGTCACTGACCAATAAAAATACAATCAATAAACAACACAAAACTATCCCCTCACAACAAGAACGATTAAATCAGACCCCTCACATCCTTGACATAATCTATTTCAACTTCTTCCCTTAAGACGCCGTTATAGGGTATTGCATGCCAAAACAACTAGACTCAAAACATTTTCCCCCATGCCATCATTCTACTGAACATCTAACTCCCATAATACTGTCTTAGGCCTAAAGATATTTATTTACCCATGTAGTAGGCTGTATTGCTATTATCCTTGTCATCTTCTCATCTTTCTTGTCTTCTCATTTCTCATCTTTTCTCATCTTTCCTACTATCTTATGATTTATCGTTTGTATCTTATGATTATTGTAACTATGATTTATGAACTATGACCTATTACTTTGCTGTTTGTATGTACACAGAGCTTATGCACTGGAGACAAATTCCTTGTGTGTCCAATCACACTTGGCTAATAAAGAATTCTATTCTATTAGCAACTATTTGTGGGCAAAGCTTACAAACAACATACCACAATTTTGCTAATTTTAGAGGAATACATTTATCCTGATTATTTAACATAAAGCGCAGATAAAAGCTATCAGAGTGCCCTGGAAATTTAAAGAAAAGCAACTGATAGCAAATGTCCTTGCAGGTTACTTAGTTTAGATTTGCTAGCTGGAAGCAAGTGTGAAAGGTGCTTTTGATTTGCTGATTGAATTTATTTACTAATTTGGGAGAACTTTATGAGTCCACCTCCTGTTAATTATTTATTATAGTGAATGATAACTTATTCATAATGTGTCATTACAAAGATATTAGGCCACATTCTGGACTATGTAGGAAATTCATTTCTGTTGGAGGAAATTGCAAAACTACAATAGCTATATAAAACTGGATTTTATAGGAGCGTGACCTTGGTTAGTTGATTTAAACGTTTTGTATTACAACATTTTGCATTGACAAACAGTGGGAATTTGATGCAATTGTCTCGTGAACTTTTCTCTCTCCGTGCATTGTGTATATTTTATAACCAAAAAGTGTTTTCAGCAATCCAGCTATCTTCTGCACCAACTAGATTCTTTACTAGTTTGCAGAAGCTAATTTCTGGTTTTATGAGATATAATTCTTCCATTATAATGGTTTTATGAGATATAATTCTTCCATTCCTAATTAAAATTGTAAAGTTGTTTTTACTCCTGATGATCTTGTGGACATTTCCATATTTTTTTCTTGGCACAGATATGGAATTTGTTAGGTTTCTTCTAATTTTTTTTTTAAAGTCTATCCTAACGACCTAATATTTTCTGGGTCTCTCATTCTATTAGGACAGGGGTCTTCAAACTCGGCCCTTTTATGACTCATGGACTCATGCTGGCTGAGGAATTCTGGGAGTTGAAGTCCATAAGTCATAAAAGGGCCGAGTTTGAAGACCCCTGTATTAGGATATTAAATGTAGTGGCTAGAACAGTAAAGTGTACAATGGACCAGAACACAGAGTTGTACTTGATTGGTTGGATAATGCTGGCTCATGCATGAGGCAATCTACGCTATAATTGGTTGCTGTGGGTGTAAATGGGCAGTTTCCCTTTTTTCCCGTCTTTTTCTTCTGGGTGCACTGTATGCTATAATAATAATAATATTAATAAAGTTGGAAGGGACCTTGGAGGTCATCGAGTCCAACCCCCTGCCCAGGCAGGAACCCTACACCATTTCAGAGAGACTGCTGTCCAGTCTCTTCTTAAAAACTTCCAGTGTTGGAGCATTCACCACTTCTGGAGGCAGGTTGTTCCATTGGTTAATTGTTCTAACATTCAGGAAGTTTCTCCTTAGTTCTAAGTTGCTTCTCTCCTTGATCAGTTTCCAACCATTGCTTCTCGTCCTGCCTTCAGGCGCCTTGGAGAATAGATTTACCTTATGATGTTCTTATATTCCTGATGGTCTTGTCAGCTGTAAATCTAAATGTTAAATATATTTATTTATATAAAATAACAAGATTGTGTTAGTGTCTCTGACTTCTTTTAGACAGGTGCTGTGCAATCAATCCCCTGACACATTCAGATGTCCACCCCAGTTAGGTTGCAAGTCGAGTCAGCCAGGTGTTGCCCTCCATTAAGACTTTAATTTGTGCTCTGTTTCAATGGAAACAAGCTTTCTCCATGCCAAAGTCATCAAATCAGCCTCCAGAATTTTATTCCTGGATTTCATCCAGATGGGATAAACATTTTATATAACCTCTGCAGTCAAACACTTTGTTAATCCTGGCCCAAAGAGAAACCTGTGTTGAAATTATTTCACCTACATTTTGTAGCGTGCGTTGATTTGTTAGCAGATGGCATTGGAACAGATTTACTTAAAACTGGAGTTGATGTCTCAAATTTCCTTTTAATATTTCCTCATCCCATTTAATAATGCAAGCATCTAAATCACAGGTCCCCAACCTATGGGCCGCGGTCCACTACCGGGCCGTGGCCTCTTGGGCACTGGGCCACATGAGTAGCTGGGCAGTGCACATGTACATGTGCGCGTGCTCACTCCCCTCGTGCCAGCGTTGCCATGAGGGTTGCACAGGCAGCGGCAGCACCGCTAGTATTGCGCAGGCGGTGACGTTGCCATGAACCTTGCGCAGGCAGCCGGTGGGCAGTGGTGCATCATACGCAGATGGCGGCATTGCCACAAACCTTGTGCGGGTGGCAGCAGCGCCACAAGCAGGCATGCCGCGGCGCGAGCCTCACACGGGAGTGACGGTGCAAGCCTCGCGCCAAAGGCGGCATCGCTGTGGGCTGCTGCATGAGCCTCACAGCGGCAGCGCGATCGTTGCGCTGGTGGTAGCATCACTGAGAGCCTCGTGCACAGGCTCTCAGCCCTGTTTGTGTGGTGCACATGCTTGTGGCCTCTTTGTGCGTGCGCACATGTTTGGCTAGAAAGGTTGGAGACCTCTGACGTAAGTTACATGACTTTTGATTAGAAACAGATTTTATAATTTAATTGGATATGTGGGCAAAAGGGGGTCCAATGCAAATATGTTGATATTCTTCCAAGTAAAAAACTGGAATAAAACCATTACATGAGAAGTCAGTTTTAGGTATTTAAAGACTAATCTCCTTAGGGGTTACATAACCTCTCTCCCCTGTTAAAAGGAATTTGATTTACTTGATGCTTTATCTAAGATAATATCTACTAAAAATTTGATAATGTCTGATGTCTGATCATTCAGGCAAAGTGTTATCTTTAAACGTAGCCATTTAAAATCAAGTCCCTTTATTGATTCCTTTGACAGATGACAACACAAGCATTATGGAATAAAATATCTATCAAACTGTTTATTACAGCCGTAAGGCCAGACATAATCAAAATGTATAACAACAGTAGCAATTTTACTTCCATATTTACAGGATATAAAACCACCAAACAATCAATATAATATATGGAATAAAATATTAAAAAGTTAAATGGGGATCCAGCATGCAACCGCAAACTTAATCTTTATTTACAAAAATATATTCAGGATTCATATATTCCAGAAAGGCATTCATAGAAAATGAAAATGATAAAAGGTTGCGACCCAAAAACATGTAAGATGTATCGCAAGATGACATGAGGGAGCTTCGCCAGTTTTCCTTTTGTTAAGTGGGACTTTTGTAATTGGCCAGTTTCAACTTTGTGACTATTTTCTGATAGAAGCCATAGCTTCTATCTCAAAATTCCAGATGTGTTTACTAGTGCAGAAATGCTGAGAACTCTTGGCTTAAAGACTGCTAGTTCAAACACATTTGAATCTGTAATCAGTGCATTTTTTTATATAAGCCATACTAGAAATGGACATGTTCTTTGGTTGATTGACAGCTATACTACCTAGCTAAGCTTTTTTTCTCTTTCTTCTACTTTCAGGCTCAGGGGGGCCAAAATGGCAGCCTCTACTTCATCATCATCAGCTGGTGGAGTAAGTGGAAGTTCTATGACTGGATCTGGATTTAGTGTCTCAGATCTTGCCACACCTCAAAAAGCCCTGTTTACATATCCTAAAGGAGCTGGAGAAATGTTAGAAGGTAAAAGTGTTCTTCATTATTTGATTTGTAAGTCAAGATAGTAGTGCTTAATACTATGGTTGTATTCACAGACTCAGTATACAAATATTTTTAATCTTAATGTGTTAAATAAATGACAGTGGCCCAGTTGATACATAAAGATAATTAAAAATGGATGGATTTGTGCAGTGTTCTAAGCCAAACTAATCAGACAATATTATGACTCATCTATAAACTGAACAATTCTTTCTTTCTTTTTCTTCCTTTCTTTCTCTCTCTCTTTTTTCTCCCTTTCTCTCTCTCTCTTTATCTGTGTGTGTGTGTGTGTGTGCTTGTACACACACATCTTTCATGCAAAGACTACTGTGGATCACTGAGACCACATTGATTCTTCTTCTGAATTAGGGCTGTGTGAAGAAAGTAAGTATTTTGCCTAAGAAGAAAGAAGCCAATAAACAAAAGCATGTCACAACAGAAATGTTGGCACTACAAACAACCTGCAGTGAAACAAAGTAATAAGATGGGCAGTGTCTTTCTTCAGGATATTGCAGTGCATCCATAGTTATTTGAGAGGGAAGAGGAGAGAGAACCAGCAAAACTATACATCTGTCCTCTATGAAATGACATGTTCGCAGGACTGGCATTATACACTGAACATATTTTTCAAAAGAGATTTTGACATCATTTAATGTGGATTCCTCTGCTCAAGTTATATTTTTCATTGATTATGTGCCATCAAATCAGAAATCATTCTTAATAGCTACGTAGATAGACCTTCTCCACAATAATCCATTCCCAACTTAGCCTTTTAGGATTGCCAACAGAATACCCATCATTACTGCAATTGAGTTCATCCTCTTCTTCTATCCCAGCATTGTGGACTTCTCAAGGAAAATGTGTATAATTGTAGTTAGTGTGTAAATATTGCAGTGGTCAAATCTAGGAGGCCATAGAATGGGATGAGAAAGAAAGAATCATTGATGTATAAACTCTCTGGATGTTCAAGATTCTTGATAGGGCAAATTAGTCCAACGTCTTGCAAATTATACCTTTCTTGCATTTTTATATTTATTGTGAAATGTAAAAAATGACTATCCTCTATCTTTTTTAACCTTACTCTATTTTAACTATTGGGAGGAGTCTGCCTGATGAATCTGCTTGATCAAGACAAATTCAATAGATGTCTTGGTTAACTTCATTCTGTTTTTTAGGTTATTAGATTGTATGGCATCTTTTATTTTTTGGGTGCACCAAATATAAAGTGTTTTGCTATTTCCTTGAATTTCATGCAATCCTATTGCATTCAGGTTAGCAGAGTCTTGAGATCAGATGGGGATGCTTTTTCTGATGTTGAGATCAAAAGTTGATGCTTCTACCCACTTTCAAAAATTGCAGCTAAGGCTTCTAGGGATTATTTAAATTTCATTCTTATTACACCTTGGTTTCCAGTGCTACTTACTCTGGACCAAGGGCTCATGGAAGCTGCCATTGCAACTGTTTACCACTAGATCTTCCAACACTATGGTCCCGCTGAACAATATGTAACAGATGCAATGTTATCAATCCTTAAAGTTGCTAAGAAGGATTGACACGGCATTCTCACTTTGCTGAATGGTAGTTTTTCCTTGCTTTACCCGGGAGAAGATAAATTCTCTTCAGTTCCCCTTCCATATAATTTTTAATTTTAATTTTATAATTTTTAAATTTATTCTTTCATTAAGCCTAAGGAACTACCATTGCTCATGTTATATTTAGCTGCCGAGGTGGCATTCTACATTCTTGTTGAGATAAGGGAGTGCTCAGTTTTGGTCTGTTAGTAGACTGTATCCTACAGTCTTCTATAGTAGGGCTTTTCAACCTTTTCACCCATTGTACCACTTTTAGGATATGGCAATATCCGAGGACCACCAGTCACCTAGCAAGGTGTCAGAAACTTGATGACCAAAAAAAAAAAAAAGGAAAAAAGTGATAAAGTACAGGTAGTCCTCGATTTACAACAGTTCGCTTAGTGACTGTTCAAAGTTACAATGGCATTGAAAAAAGTGCCCCCCAAGCCACAGCCGAGCAAGATGCCCGCCCGGTGGCGCTCTTCCTCCTGTCCGAGGTTTTCATTGTTGTGAGCATTTCTGTTGAGGATTGGCAGTGGGGGTGGTGTGGTGTTTGGTTTTATTCCCCATCTGTTGGGTGGTTGCAGCAGGTTTTTGTTACTTCACATGACCCTGGGACACTGTGACGTCATAAATATGAATCACTTGCCAAGCATCTGAATGTAAATCACAAGACCCTGGAGATGCTGCAACATTCCAGCTGATCGGTGCTTCTTCTGGGCTCAGCAGAAGCGCTAGGATCAGTGCTGCTTTCCAGCTGATCGGTGCTTCTTCTGGGCTCAGCAGAAGCACCAGGATCAGTGCCGAGCTCCAGCTGGAGCTTGGTGCTGATCCTGGTGCTTCCCCTGAGCCCTGACAGCGCCGAAGAAGCTCTGATCAGTTGGAAAGCGGCATTGATCCTGGTGCTTCCGCTGAGCCCTGACAGCCCTGCAGCTCCAGCCATCTCTCGCTCAGGCTTGTGCAGTGTTGCCACCGGTTCAGCTCATTCCCCTCCCCCGCTACCATTTTTCTAGCATGGTCGCGTACCACCTGCCAGGTGCCAATGTACCACAGGTGGTACCCGTACCACTGGTTGAAAAGCCCTGTTCTATAGTATATCCCAGTAGAGAGGAAGTAAACATTTTTCCCTTGTGCTAACATCAGAGTAGGCTACTTGGCTGCTGTAAGGAGGCAGATAGAGTATTCTTCTATCCAATTTTGAGGGGAATTGCACTCTCCCTAGGAATAGAACAGAATAGCAGAGTTGGAAGGCACCTTGGAGGTCTTCTAATCCAATGCTCTGTCCAAGCAAGAGACCCTATACCAGACATGTCAAATACAAGGCCCAGGGGCCAGATGCGGCCCGCAAAGTGGTTTCATGTGGTCCGCGAAGCCATCCTGGAAAGTGAGGGAACGGCCCCCACTGCCTTGGCCCTGGCCCAGTCCGGCTGGGAGCTAATGTACAATTTTGTGGTGGCCATCTATGCTGAAACGCATTCAGTCTTAGCTCCACAAGGCTGTCTGGAAACAGCAAGGGACCGGCCTCTGCCGCGTTAGCCCTGCCACCTGGGTGCATGCTGGGGAGGTGTCACCCTTTGTGAGGAACGAAGAAATGGACCATGCCTTGGTGCTTGCCCTGGTCCCACCCCCTTCTGCCAGAGACCCTCAGATCTGTCCCACTCCTGCCCAGGCACCCACAGGCACCCTTGACGGGAACGATGTACAGCTGGCCATGCTCACCCAGTAGGCCACACCCACTCCATCCACACCCACCCAGTAGGCCACACCCACCCTGACCACACCCACCCGGCCCCCCAAGGGCAACCGCAATGCTGATGCGGCCCTCAATGAAATTGAGTTTGACACCCCTGCCCTATACCATTCTAGACAAGTGGCTGTCCAGTGATGAAGTACCCACAACGTCTAGAGGCAAGCTGTTCCATGGGTTAATTTCTCCTTAGTTCTAGGTCGGTTCTCTCCTTGAGTTTCTATCCATTGCTTCTTGTCTTGCCTTCTGGTGCTTTGGAAAATAGGTTGACCCCCTCTTCTTTGTGGCAGCCCTTCAAATATTGAAGCACTGCTATTGTGTCATTCCTGGTCCTTGTTTTCATTAAACTAGACATACCCAATTCCTGCAACTGTTCTTCATACGTTATAGCCTCCAGGCCCTTAATCATCTTTGTTGCTTTTCTGTGATACACCAGTTTTTGGATTTCCATTGTTACCAGCCACGTGGCCATTGTTAGGAATGATAAGATTATAACTCAACAACACCTGGAGGGAGTTAGATTGCCTTCCTTACTTTGATTGGATGAAGGATACAAATAGTCTACCTTTATTGCAAAAGAATACATAAACAGGAACCCTTCTATTAGCTATGTCTGATATGCCAGGTGTGATTCACTCCATGAAAAGATAACTAAGCCTCCATCACCCATGGGCTGCTAGCCTCAAGTTATATACAATGAAGTATTGAAACTAGTATTAAAACAAAAATTCCTAATGGGTCAGATAGTAAACCCCATAATTTCTAACCAAAGTAGCCATTGGCTATAAGTGATTCAGAATATCAAGGTGTGTAATGTAAAAGATCTGGAAGGTACCAGGCGGAAGGGCTGGTGTCAGCTACACTTGGCTGGTACTACCGTAAATAACTGCATTGGCTTTTTGTGTAAACACAATGCTGAGTAATGGTGATTTCCTTTCATTGTTTTGTCATAGCTGATAAGAAAGAGAACAAACTAAGAACTATCTTCTTCATGATGGTGTAGACATTTGCCTAGTACTCATTGGTGATACTATTTCAATGTGGAAAGAACGCCTTTTCCAATTCTCAAGCATGTTAATTTTGTGTTTTCTCTCTAATTAGGACCGGTATGGAATCTACATGTTGTTTTGCCATTAGTGCGATTTTTTTTAATACAATGTGCCTTTATTTGAATATTTGAGTATTTATAAGTTAAATACTAGATAAAGCTAAACTTCATTAAAAGTAGTTGGAACATGGTGATGGGGCCTAGTTGTTATTCCATTCTGTAGGTTCTGAGCTTACCTTCCAGCTAAACTACAGGTAATCCTCGACTTAACAACAGTTTATTTAGTTACCATTCAAAGTTACAAAAGCACTGAAAAATGTGACGTATGATCGTTTTTCACAGTTATGACCTTTGCGGCATCCCCATAATCATGTGATCAAAATTCAGATGCTTGGCAACTGGTTCATATTTATGATCGTTGCTGTGTCCCAAGGTCATGTGATCAGCTTTTGCGACCTTCTGATAAGCAAAGTCAATGGGGAAGTCAGATTCACTTAACAACCAAGTTACTAACTTAACAACTGCAGTGATTCACTTAACAACCGTGGCAAGAAAGGTTGTAAAATGGGGCAAAACTCAGTTAACAAATGTCTCACTTAACAGAAATTTTAGGCTCAAT